ATTTAATTACAATGATCTACATCTATGTATAAAGGAGGTTTTTTATTTTTATTTTTATGTACATATTTTGTTTCACGTTTTTATCTCTTATTATTTATTATTTGTTAGTTAAAGTATAAAGTTAAATAAAAATTCTCAGAAATTTAAAACAAAATAACCGTAAATAAATAAAACTATGCTTAAATTTTTATTTCTTCTATAGAAGTGATAATTAATTTACTCTTTCTTTCTGTCTAGTTTATAGTAAGTTGAGTTTGTTTCCCTATTTATCTTTTTCTACAACTATCCGTAATTCCGTATACCTACCTATCTTCTCCCATTTTTATTATTACTCTCTTAATCTCTTTCCAACCATCTGATCTGGTTTTCATCCTTCCCTTCTTGAATGGTTCTCTTCTCCTTTAATCTCTCTCTCGTTAGATCTTGAAACAACTTTTCGGTGGTTTGCAGTTTTGGTGGGTCATTCAAGAAAAATAGATGTTAGATGGTGCTTTCATGACATTCGGTGGTGGAACTACCAGACTTGTGGATTTTGGATCTAACTTTTGTGTCTCAAATTTGTTGCTTCAATTTCTGCTTTATTCTTCCCCCAATTTACTCACTTCTTGCTGTACCTTACAACTCTCCCATTTTTGGTGAGTAATTGTAACTTTTATGCATTATTTGGAACGGTAGAAAAATTTCAAGAAGACAAAATACAAGTTTTACTTTCTTTTCCCTATTTGGTAACATTCTAGAGAAGAAACTAGAAAGAATGATTAAAACACGCAATACCCATTTTATTATTCTTTTCAAATTGGAAAGAAAAAAGAAGAAGAAAGTTGTTGTATATAAAAGAAGAAAAAATTAATATTATTTTAACATATTTTTTATTTTATATATATATATATATATATATAACTTTCTACACAAATAAATAAAGTTTTAATTTTATTTTCCTTTTTGTTAAACAACTTATAATTACGGCAAATGTGAGTTAAGTTTCATCCATGAAAACTACTCCTATATTTGATAAAAGTTGAAAACTTTCTTTCCAAAATTCTAATTTCAAGATATAAAACAAAGAAGAAATAATTTGTTGCTTTAAGTCTAAAATCACTTTTAAGCTCTTTCAAAAATATACATATAATTGTTCTTACAAGTTACCGAAAACAACATAGTTCTTTCAATGTACAAATAAGAAGAAAAAAAAATCAACTTTTCTAATAAGGGGGAAATGACATGTTTTACAATTTTAATTTCTTTATACTATTTTTTTTTTTTTTTTTTATATTGGAATGATGGAGAAAAGAGTAATGTTATGCATACAGGACAAGTAAACTAATTGATCGAATTGGACCACATACCAAATTAAAAAATGAACTAGTTTTTATGACATAGCAAGAATGGATTGGTGGGTGATGACATAGCGCATAGGCTCGTTGACTTGTAATGGTACGTTTTGACAGCTTGAAGGAGCTTATATTCAATGTCATCCATGGTTGGTCTTCCTTTTCCGCATGAATGCGAATCAGCTGCCCTGTTGGAAGCAATTGAGTGGGTAATTAATTGATCTTGGGTTGGATCATGTTATGTTCGAGCTTGTTAAAGAGTCGTCGCAAGCATTTGCAAGTCTCAGGTTGATGTACCGGAATATAGAGAAGAGAAGAATTAGGAAAAATGTTTCTGAAATGCTTAGACTTGTCTGGTTGGAAGCACACAAGTTGGTCTAAGAGACAGAGACAGAGACAGAAACAGTATCCAACAATAATAGAAGAACTGAGTCATCAATTTTCTCTTGCTGAGATTAGGAAATCAACCAAAAACTTGGACAAAAGCAGACTAATTGAAGAAAGAGGACTTGGAATCAAAGTATACAAAGGGATTCTTCTTCAATACAGCGATGCTTCAGATTATACAGTCACGGTAAAGCGGTTTAACGTGTGGAAGGAGCTATCTCATATCAGAAGGAGTACTTATTTTGGAGAAGCCTGTTGAGGAAAATATTGATCCGAATATAAGAGGAACTATTGCACCGGAGTGTTGGCAAGTCTTTATAAATATCACTGTTAGATGCTTGAAGTTGGAACCAGATGAACGACCAACAATCGGCGAAGTGGAGGTGGAACTTGAGCATGCTCTGTCGTTGCAAGAAAAAGCAGATTTCAGACACACCGATGGTCATTATACCTTGTTGTCGAAAACCATTATTAAGCTTGGACCGGAATGAGAATTTGAGCATCATCTGTCATTGCATTGCACCAAAGCAGATATATCATAAACCAATGGTGATTATACCTTACTATCAAATGCAATTGCTGCAATAGAAGACATGTTTCAAGGTACTTTGGTCACCTCCAATCGAGGGTTTTAGCTTTTTGCACCAGTTAAGTTTAATTGAGATATCTCCAGCTTTTGTAGCTATCCTTGTTTTTAGCATTTTGAATCTGATTGTATCTGAAACCGTTAATGTATTATCTTGAACTAGTATAGATTTGAAAGCTGTAATGAACTCCATGCTTGAGCCTATTATCTTACTCTTCCTCTTGTGTTTATTCTGGACTCTTTCACTTTACAAGAAACTGATTTAGGACAACCTTATAGAAGAGCTATTGTCTTCAATTCTTGTTGTCCAATTCCGATCTTAGAAAGGTAGCTGACAATTTTAATCCGAACAGATCCATAGAAACAGGAAGCTTTACCAATTCAATGGATCACTAATGATTGCTAAATATGGTTTACAGTGTGCTTGAGGTGTAAACGGTGAAACAAACAAATTAAAAGATTCAAATGAAGACTATGAAATTAGTTTCGTTCTCCACATAATTCTGCATGAGTTGGTGAATTGCTTAAAGTTTTCTTATATCATATTGTTCGGTAACTTTTTTTGTCTAATATTTTGCAAAATGATGGTACTCTTGACTCTTGAGGATAATTTTACTATGATTTATAGTAGTAGTTAACTATTTTGGAAGTCCATGTGTGTTGCCAATTTGTAATCAGTGGTGACCATTCAACATTGACTTCGCCTTTATCTAACTATAACTACGTAGTTTCAAATTAAAACTTCTTGTGTTGATACCGCCACTTCAAAGGGCAGTAGAGATATCAATTAGAGAACATTCTTTTTCTAACCATATAATTGGTGCAAAGTATCACTTTATCAATGATTAATTTTTTTTGTTAAAAAATAATTATTTTTAACAAATCTTTCTTTCCAATAATGTATTTTCTGCCTACGAGACTCGAATTGAGTAGAGGTTACTTTACATTAGAAAAATAATTTCCCAAAGCACTTAAGTTGTGTGAAATACTGTTATAGTAAGTGAACCTTGCTTCAGTGAATGGATAACGAGGTCTCATTGCAAATAGCACTCCTTAAAGTCGGAACAAACTTCTAAAAAGTAATACTTTGCACAATAGTTGATCTTCATAATCCAATAGTGCACCAATGTCAATGTGATGCATCGTTCCCAACATTGATGGCTAGGATCTCCCCGCATCGAGATTTCAATGTTTTTGTCCATGATCTCGCCACTTGATACACCAGAATGATTGTTTTGCACCATAAACTAGAGCATAGAACGAAACTCTTCCTAGAAGAGGTCGACCAGGAACTGTTCAGGTACTCATGAAAATTGAAAGATTTGGTATATCACATTACGTAAATAAATAAATTTTAAAAAATAAATTTAAAATAACATAAATTTTAGATTAAAAATTTATATAAAATAAACCAATCAAAAAGACTAATTCAAAACAAAATAATCAAAATGTCAATTTTCATAACAAATTTTATTTATATACGACTAAATTAAAAAATTAAAAACAAAAAATTATAATAATATTATAAAAACATTAAAATAAAAAAATAAATAATATAATTGAAAAACTAATTTATATTGTAAATTTTAAAAAGTTATCACCAAAGAAAAATTAAAACATATTAACAAAATATTAATATTAAACTTTTAATTAGCTTATTAAATATAAATTTAAAAATATAAAAATAATATAAAGATATAGATAAATTATTAAAAATATTAAATAAAAATAAAAATAAAACAAGTAATTATAAAAAAAAATAAAAACAAAATGACTGTCCCGTACCTCTATAATTATAATGAGTAGCATAAAATTTCTCTTCCATAATAGAATGATATTCTAATCATTAGTGGGACCATTTGTTTTTGAGCTAGAACCATTCATATTTTCTGCTGAGAGTCACATGTGAGTCTGGTAACATGAATGCAACAACAGCGTAGCATTATAAAAAATGTCACGTTAGATAATATTTTACAAAAAGTTGTCATTTCCTTTGTTGATGTGAAGTATATTTTGTTGATATTGAATTTCTCTCGTTACTCGACGTGATTGTGAAGCACTTTAATTTTTCAACTTGAGAGACTTTAATAAATAAATTTTTTATTTTTTTTATATTTATGGTTGGAAGTTCCATTGTGCTCTTCTATTTCATATTGATATTTATTAATTTATTGACATGATTAATAAAATGAATAATATTAATTAAAATATTTAAAGTAAAAAATATTTTAAATTAAGAAAATATATTGTTTTTAAGTACATAATTTAATTAAATAACATATATTTATTATTTTACATAAATAATATAATTACAAATATTTTTCAAATTAAAATATTATGAACTATAATTTTTAATATTTTAATATTGTTCTTATTTTTTAATTCGTTAATTTAATTTTAATAATATACTCTTTTTTTAAAAAAAATATACTTTATAAAGACACTTATGTAAGGATGTTATATACTAAATTAGTAATTAAGAATTATTGTTTTAATGAATGAATTACATAAACATAACCACATAGTCAAAGTCAACATAGTTGTACCAAAAAAAAGTCAAAATAGTGGTGCGATGGGAATTAATATGCATGAGGTGGTTCAAAAAGCAGGACAAAACTATTTGTACAAAAAAAAAAGTTTAATGGGTTGGGCTTTGGAATCTGAAAAGCTGCGGGAAGTTACCAGTTACCAGTTACCAGCGATGGACGTTTGTGTGGGAAAGGAGAATATAGAATATAGAATATAGAATATGGAATTTTTGGCAGTTGGCAGAGCGCGTTCGTAGGAAAGCAAGGCAATACAAAACGTTGATGTTGAGTGTTGAGACGCGCATTTGGTTTTGGCAATGCGTTGAAGAAGAAAAAAGGAATCGATTAAGAATGCCCGAGATGGATGAGCGCGTGGTGATGCAGCAACCTCTGTCTGCCATAGCAGAGGCGTTTGAGGAACTCTCTAAGAGGAACGACGCTCACAGCATTCGCTTGGACACCTTCTGCGAGGCCGCCTCTCTCGTCTCCGTTCTCTTCCGTTGTCTCGGCCTCGCTTTCAAATTCGCTGAATTGGAATACGTTGCCAAGGTTTCTTTCTTTCCTCATATCATCTTTCTATTTTTTTATTCATGCTCTACAAATTACTTCTCCAACATGATTGCCTTCAAATCCGGATTGCATGCAAAAAATAACCAAAACAAAATTGTGATTGCTGGCTGCGGCCGATAAACAACTATGATTGCAGAATCATTGTGATTAAAATCTTGTTATGTTTGATTTTTATTTATATTATTTCGGATTTGAAACTTGTGACATCGTGTTGAAATTGGATTCTCTGTACGCGATTGAGTAGTGAGTCACAGCCAAGTTTTCTACAAAATGTGGTAATATATCCCCTGATTCTGATGGAAATACATGTAGAGAGTTAGATGTTGCGGTGTTGCTAAACTCGGATCCATCCTCTCCTTGGTTGTTACTAATTGAATTGGTTAGACCGTATATATATTTATGTATGTGATACATCATTTAATAATTAGAACATTACAATTAATTAACAAATATCTGTAATCATAAAAACATTATTATATACACACATAAATATTAGAAATTATAAAATATATAAGAATTTTTATTTTTTTTTATATTCGAGGATATAAAAGTTTACTAAAAAATAGAGATTTAAAAGGTAGTTACTAAAATATATCTCCCTTATAATAGGTTTGGATAAGTTAAATTGCATGAGTTGATTTAACTTGCACAATCTTCTTCTCCTAATAAGTACTTATTTTTTATAATCATATTTACTTTATTTCCTAAAATTCATTTTGCTTCGCTGTTTTCTGGGCTCTCTCATTTTGAATTTCTAATCTTGTTCTAATGTTATGTATCAGCTACATGGACTATTGGAAGCATCGAAGACATGTCCCACTCTACAGGATATTCTTAACCTTGATGTCGCCAGTGACACAGTGAAAACATCAGGAAGCTCTTCACGTAATCTGCGTAGAGTTCGGCAGGGTCTTGATCTCGTCAGAGCTATATTCGAACAGCTCTTGTCAACTGAGTAAGAAGCCTGTTTTTGTGTATAAAAACTCATGATGCTGAATTTTCCATACAAATAACCAAAGAGTATTTTTCTGTCTGTTATGTTTCACCTGCGTTGAAGCACTGCTTATAATTGTATCGTTTACATTCATATCAGATCTAATTAATATAAGTGCCTCGTGGGTAGTGGTGGCATCTGATTTATTATTTGACATTTTCAGTGATAATTCTCTGAAAGAAGTGGCTACAGTAGCTTATGGGCAGGTTTGTGCACCATATCACACATGGGCAGTAAGAACAGCTGTGTATGCTGGGATGTATACACTTCCAACGAGAGATCAACTTTTGATGAAGCTCAATGAAACAGGTAACTTGCATTGTTTTATGTTCGGTGGAGGGCTTATTAAAGTATATAGAATCAAACGTATGGTGTGTTTATATAGAGATCAATTGGAAAACTGATTCCATATTTTTGCAATTATTAGTTACTTAATTAATACTTATCACCGACTCTTATTCAAATTTCCGTTAATCTGAACATGCAACGCTACCTAGTCATCATTTGAATTTCTAATTTGACGACCCTATACTAAACAGCTCAAGTATTCTTTAGTTGTATACTTCAATGCATTCTTGGTAGCCTTTTTCTTTGTATTTTCTTCCTAATTCTTTTCAAATTTGCCAAAAATTTGTTTCAATTCTGGTGTGAACCAAGTATTGTTCTTTTTTTGTGGTGGAGGGGTGGTGCAAGAAACATGATTTTAATCTTTAGGAAATTAACCTATCGATATCATATTGATTTAGACACGATTTTTTTTGTACAATCCATCTTACATTGACCTAAAACTCTATAAATGTTTTTGCAGAGCAATCAGCCGAGAAGAAGATGAGAAGGTACATTGCTGCCTCACTTCCAATTATAGAATACATCGATAAACTGTACCTTTCTCGAAATATTACGTTGGACTGGTGAATTTATACAAAAGAAAAGAAGAAAGTCCAAGAAGATGAGTGCCCTTTCTGTTTGTTAGGAGGCAGTGCTGTGGCCTCATTGTCTATCGGCAACCTTAGTACACATGCGTCGAGTTTTGTGGTATAACTTGTATTATATATAAGATGTAATTATGTTAGTTTCTCAACGGCTCTTGGCCTTTTAGGGAGATGCACAAAACAAACAAATAGATTTGTACTAAAATGCATGTGGAATTTTCAGTTGCATTGGTTTATAATTTTTTATTTCTGTATATACATACATATACGTTATTTGTTTTGGAGGACAGTAACCGTGATATTTGAATCCTGTGAAAGTACTAGATGCAAGGCATTCCGTTCCGTGCATCGTTAACGAATATGAAATTAGTTTTTTTTACCGACAATATGCTGGTTTTAGTGACAAATCATTTTGCATTTCAGTATGTTCTCGTATATGGTCTGAAACAAGATTGATTTCTATAAAGCGAAAATACAAATTACCAAATGATGCCCTTTCTACGGTTCTGGACTAGTGGCTTGAACCCAGTGACTGACTTTTGTTGAGTGAGTATTTGTATCATCACATCATGTCTTTTTACTCCAACCTCTTGCACATCAATTTATAGTAATAAAAAATGGGAAAGGAAAACTAAGTATACTTCAAATTTGTATATAATTGTCCCCTCAACTTGGTTTGGTTGGTTATGAAACAAAAATTACGTGCGAAAATTCAATCTTCCTCTACTCTTTTTCTTCTGCATTTTATCTCCTCCCGACCCCTCCTTATGATCTACTGCGACTTCTTGTCAGACTAAAAATCCGCAAATGATTGAGATATTATACTCCGGACAAAGACTCAATTCTCCAATTAAACCTCTGTACTTAATTTAATAAGCTAACCACTCCAAATCTATAATATTCCTTTTTATATATAATAAAATTTGTTTAAATCGCCTATTTTGACTCTGTTTAACTTCTCTGTATCCTTCTGCTTGACTATTCCGGGGCAATTATTTAGGAAATGGTCATCAATGAAGGGACGAGAAAATTAGACAACGAACAAGATATTAACGTGGGTGCCAACGGACTTGTGAGAATCCAATATCAAATCAAGAAGTAAAGGTATAGATGTTTATTGAAAAATCGAACGCTTAAAACTGCTTATTGCTTAAACGTAAATTCTCAACACAATTGCCGTTTACAACATCCCTCACTGTAAACAATTTCAAAGTTGTTTGTATAAAAAAAACAAGTCAAAGGTTCTCAGGGCAGCTCCTATAAGATAAAACGTGATGAAAGTTAAGGGGGAAAATCACAAAATGATTGACATCGAGACAAACAGCTTCACAGCAAACACTGTCGTCGACTCGTGATACGCTGATGGAGATAATTTAATGTTTAAGAGCAGAATGACTACAATGTTAGGCTTTCTGGGTTTTCAATGATTTTTGAGAATGTCTGAAGGAAGGCAGCCAAGTCAGCCCCATAAATTATTCGATGATCGGCTGTCACATTAACCTGAAAAAAGAAAAAAGACCCAATTAATCCTATCTTCAGATATATTTAAAAATGCTTATGATATATGGTCCCAATTTAAACTGACATAAAAGCCACATCTGAAGCCTGTATTTGTCCTTGTGCTTCTTAAGACAAGCAAAAGAAATACATTAAAAAGAAGTTACATCCATCTTTCCTAATATGATGCTTGCCAGAAATGTTTTGAAAATTGGTCACTAAAAGCTGTACTATATTTAAATCAGGAGTAAATAATATTTTAAAATTTTAATAACACTTTAATAATGTTATAGCAAAACACTATAGTCTAGTGTAATATTTTATTTGTAACACAAGAACATGCTTAGAATACTTTAAAAGCATATTATTAGTCACATTGAGAAAGGCTACTAAAATGTCATTCAATAAAAGATAAAATAGGTGAGAAACCGTCCATCAATCAGATATCACTTTTGGTAAGACATTTTCCTTATTTATAATAAAAGTCAATAATAACTTGCATTTCAATACATGACCACTAAAATCATACCAAAAGTGATACCTGATTGATCAGTGTAAAACTATTTTACAAAGTTAGCGTATAATTAATAAACTTAAAACTCTTAAATAAAAGAATCAACGAATAATGGACTGGATGTCAGACTGGTTCCTTGTTTGACCAGTCGAACCAAATCAGAAACTGTCTGGTCCAGTCGGGTCAGGTTTTAATGACTATGCATGCCAGTTGAAAACTCGGACAAATGTTGTATATCCGTTTTTCAACAAAATGATGCATGTGATGTCAAACTTATAAATTTTTTAGGGCTGGTTTGTTTTGATTCCAGAATCAATTTCTCTTATTGTGCATAGTATCCTATACAAAATCCATGATTGAAAATCAAATAGGCACACGTCTTAATTACAATTAGAGATGTAACACACAAAAGTTTGTACAAAATCATTTTGTGCCTATTTCTTTCATTATATTATTTATTACATTTCAGAATTCTCTCTTTTTTATACTATTTGTTGCACATTTCTTTTGCAATTAATGGTTCAAAATCAATTTTATCTAACTTTAAAAAAAAATGCACTAAATGTGGCAGTGCAATTATGCATTTAAGTGATAAAAGGGTACAAAGGAATCATTGTTTCTTCCAGATTCTCAATGGTGAAAAATAAAGTACCAAGAATGTCCAAAAGTGTTTGTTTCAAGGCATATAATTCCATGCCCAAGAATAACATTCCCAGCAATCTTATTAACAAGATAAATTAAAAAAAAAATATTGGTTAGAATTTAGTATTTATGGGAATGTTTTTCAAAATTTAAATGATAAAAGAAAAAAAAATGGGAGTTAGAATGGACAACGTAGGAAGTTTTTAGTTGAGTTATCTTGTAACTTTCAATATACCCATGAGAACAAAAGCACAGAAAAATATCTGGACAACGAATTGCTGAAAATTACTAATGCCAAGGATAATTGTTTTAAAACTTGTTACAAACACGAGAATGTTGTATTCCCAACTTCTTTTAAATGCTTGATAAATGGAGAAAAAATTATCTATAAAGCTGGATTGTGTTGCTCTACAGCCTCTACACAGTAACACAGAGAGCATATCTGTTCCCTGACCATGAAGGGAATGATATTGTATTCAAAATGATTACTAGTAGACATCACTATACCCATTCGAGTGAAGTGTTTTTTTTGGGAGAACACCAACGGAACCTCCAAACTAATTTGCAGTGAATCAGGTGAAGAGTTTTTTTAGAGGAAAAAATACTATAATCATTTCGGAATACTGTGATGGCCAATGATCCCGATGACAGAACCCAGTTGCAAAATACTACACAGAAGCCAAGTATCACAGTCGCAACATGGTTAATATTGCATCAGAGATCCTTTGGATTCAGTCCTCTTAAATGAACTTCATGCCCCAGTGGCTACTCTAGTTTTGCTAGGTGATAATTTGAGTTGAGTATTGTCTCTCTTTCTCATAACCCTGTCTTTCACTCTAAAACTAAGCATCTGGAGTTAGATCTCATCTTTGTCAGAGAAAAGGTTCTCATCAAAACCTTACATAAGTATGACATTGGTGCTTAGGACCAGCCGTCAAACCTACTTACTAAGCCCCTCTCTCTCTCTAAGCAGATTATGTATTTTACATACCAAAGTCTGAGTTCTGGACAATCTTGAATTGTCTCAGTCACCAAGTTGGATGGAGAGCTGTAAGAGTACAAAACTCAGTATATAGATATTTAGCAACTGGTATTGTAGCTTGCCTATCTTTTCTGTCTGTTAACCAACTCTTGACAGTTGGCAATCATACATGAAAAGCCGAATCAGAACCTAGTATTTTCAGTATATAAAGGATCTTTTTTGTAACAATATGGATTGATTGAATAATACAACAATAATGCCTTATCTGGTTTTCAGTTACATGGATCACTTGACACCATTTGGCCCAGTTAAAGACCATGATTGCAGAGATGGATTGAATAATAATACAAAAAAATAGTTTTCAGGCTCTCTGTTCAAGTTTTCTTTCTCTATACCTAAGTTCTTTCTTTTCTAACACAGAAAGATAGGAGACTAACTATAAACTCTGTCTATATGGTACTTTAAGTTGCACCTTAGCCACTAGGAATCAATCAAACTATCTAAAAGGTTCTTGTTACACCAACCATTATCAAGAATCCAAGAACAAGAGTGAAAAGTACAATAACATTTTATTCGAGAGAGAAGAACTACACATTCTAAGGCAGATAAGAAAGCCAAAAAGATTCATTTTACTGGGTAGAAGTATCAACAGCCACAAATTCCAGAAATGGAGACATCAAGGAGAAACTTATATAAGTTTTTCTCAGTCATGACAATAATCCAACAAATAATTTTTTTAAAAATAAAAAACATTATGGTGAAGATTTGAGACATGCCCATTGAATTAACACTTAATAAAAATATATATTCTTGAAGCATAACACCACAAGGATGTGATCTAAAATTAAAAGCTTATATCCATTGGATTAACTCTACCAAAAAATATAGTCGTATGGCACAGCACCATGCAGGATCAGCAGATGTAATCTAAGGCTATTATACCCCAACAATTAAACCCTCAGAAAAATGTCATTGTGCAGTATAACACCATGCAAATGCAATCTAAGGCTTATGCCTACATATGATGACTCTGGTGCATTGCGAAAAGGCCCCCATTTCCATCAATAAAAGGTTCATGTTCACCTGGCTTTGTCAGCTGTTCTAAGCATAAGTGCATAAACATACAAAAAGTAAATATAACAAGTAACTGACCAGCATTTTATTTTTCACGCTGAAGAATCCATCTGCAGCAGCCAAAACAGTAGGCTTTGATGCTCCAACAGCCATGATAGCACCCTGAAAATAGACAAAATTTAACCCCCAAAATAAAACGTCTAAAATTGCCACATAAATGAACCACAACAACTCTAAAATCAAGCCTTCAAAATCCCAGAGATCATCACTAACCTGGCCTGGTGGAAGTATGGCATCAAATCTGTCAACTCCAAACATACCCAAATTGGAAAGTGTGAAAGTTCCTGTAGCAAGCACAATAATTTTGCCTCAAAATTAAAACACTCCAGCTCCATGAGAAAAACAAATTGGCAACAACAACAATAACCAAAAACAAACCTGAATTGTACTCATGAGGTTGCAACTGCTTTGCACGAGCTTTGTCCACTAGCTCCTTCCATTTTTGGGACAACAAATACAAGTCCAACTGTCACAACCAAAAACAAGTAACCAATCATATTAGACAAAAAACAACAATAAAAAAGGAAGTTTGGCCACCATTCGAGTCGGTTATTAAACGTCAAATTCTCACGTACCTTATCCGCATCCTGGAGAACAGGGGTGATCAAACCACCATTGATAGCCACAGCAACAGCAACATTGATGTTACTGTTATACACAAAGTTCTTGCCATCTTTGCAGCTGGCATTCACAACCGGGTGCTGAACAAGTGCCATAGCAGCAGCCTTCGCCAAAATAGCCGTCATAGTCACACCCTTCGGTTTCACCTAACAAACACAAACACAATCAAATACCCTCTTATTTCAATCATCACAATTCACACAAACAAACCAAACAATGCCATCATAATCACATCCTAACCTTCTCATACAGAGCATCCAACGCATCCGTAGTCACAGGGTACCCAACGCGGAACGTAGGCACAGAGAGACTCTCCACCATGTTCTTCGCCACCGCAGATTGCATCGTGGAGAAAGCAACCACGCTAGAACCCGGAATCGGAGCCGGCGACGGCGTGGCAGAAGCAGCTTTCGCCGGAGCAGGACTTGCCAGCGGAGTCACATTGCTCTTCGACGGCGAAATTCCGGCAGCAGCCTCCACGTCCGCCGGAGTAATCCTCCCAAACGGACCGGTTCCAACGACATTCGCAATGTCCACCTTGTGCTGCTTGGCGAGCTTCTTGGCCTGAGGCGTGGCCACGGTCTTCGTCGGGGCATCAGAAACGGACTTCGCCGGAGGAGAAGGAGGAGGCGGAGGAGGAGTCGCCGGAGCGGAGGGAGCGGCGGCGGGTGCGGGAGAGGGAGCGGAATTGGCGGCTTTGGCTTTGGCTTCTGCGACTTCTTCGGGGGAATCGACGAGCAAGCCGATTGGAGCTCCGACGGGGGCGGTCTCGCCGTCAGCGACGACGATGGCGGCGAGGATGCCGTCGTAGAAGGTCTCGACGTCCATGTCGGCCTTGTCGGATTCAACGACGACGACGCTGTCGCCCTTGGAGAGAGTGTCGCCTTCGGATTTGATCCATGAGACGATTTTGCCCTCGGTCATGGTGGAGCTGAGCGCGGGCATGAAGATTTCGCGGATCTTGGCTTGCACGGAGAAGGAAGAGAGGCGGCGAGGGAATGCGGTGAAGCGGCGACATGGGAGGAGAGTGGTGGCGGAGAGTGAGGATGAGAATGATAGGGTTGGGGCATTGGGGAGAGAACCCATTTTGTTTGTGTCAACTGTCAACTGTGAAGAGTTAATCGAAGAGAAATGAATAAATGAAAAGGAGAAGGCGGAGACACCGAGAGAGTGTGGATCAACACTCAACACTCAACACAAGAGCCCCACTTAACTTCCCATTTCATTTAAATCTTACTACAACTATTGCTAACTTCTCCTCTTGTACATATCGACCACCAACTACTTTCTTCCATTCATTTTTGTTACTCGTTAAGTTCAATGAATTTTTTGTCCTTTTTTTTTCTTTATCTTTTTTCTTCATATTTTTTTTTTATTATTATTAGTAATCTACATTCATGTTAAATGTAGGAATGAACAAATTGATACAATAATAATGTTAAACTTTCATATTATCAACAATTTTGTAAACTTAGTCTCTTTTCAGAATACAAGATAGTCATATTAAGATATTAACTTCATGTTTCTCATAAAAATGATGTGATTTTTTTTTAAGTTTTAATGGTGAAAATCGAAGAAATTACATTAAGTTCTTCCATAAGAGTATGAAAAAGTTTATAAATGTTACCAATATATCTCATAAGATGTCATGAAAAAAATAAACTTAAAAGATCCGAGAATATGATTTGGTTACAAATGTATTATTACAAAGAAAATAACTACATTATTTTGTAACTTACTACAGAATTTCATAAGTAACATCAAACAAACATGTACAATGAATTTCAAATCAAATTTAAATAAGATCGCCATAAAATACTTATTATTCTTTGTAAGGTTCTTATTTAATTTAATCTATTTTTGTTTCAATATCATTACTGAAAATTAAATTTTTAAAGAAAAAACATGAATGAGATAAAAATTAAAAAAAAAAATCTCTCTTAACAAATATGAAAACTATATTAATTTGTTTTGATTTCCATTGATCTTAATCTCATCAAGAACAAAGAAGAAAAAAAAACATCTGGATTGCATTGCAGCACATGGGTAAGAGCTTTTTATCATATCAAACAAAAATAAGTGTAATAACATTGTTTTATTGCATAGATGAAGTGTTTTGCACAAGGGATGTATATTTAAAATATTAATTAGCTGAAAATAACTCACCATTCTGTTCTTTTTGGCTGCTATTAGTTTGTAAGTTCCCTAAAAAAAGGTTGCTTCACACTATTAGAGGTAGGCTCTCCCAAGACATTTTGGAGAATGGAGAGGGAAAGGCTTTGTATATGTGACTTCCATGTTGTCATGTCATTCAATGAAAGCAGGGTGGCATGTGTTTTGAGTTGGCCCAAGATTAACGGTCCAATTGAAACATGAGTCCAATTAGGCCCAGTTTTATTGACACTAAACTTCAAAGAAAACTAGTTAATCCGAATTCTAGATCAGCTCCAGGTCATATCTCCCATACCAGATTTCTAGAATATATCGCCATTCTTGCCAGATGATCTTCCTATCAAAGGCAATTGAACGTTAGGTAGCTATGGAATTCGCATATCATTCATCCACGACCTAATTTTATAATCCAACCATCACAATATTTATGTTAACTTTATAAATATTACCATCTCAGTATTTATATTAACACTTGGATAAAAATTATACTAATAAAAGTGACCTTAACATTTGACATTTTTTTGTACTGACAAAAAATTTAGTCGTAGTGGAATGCTGTTTTTAGCTTAAACGTAGAGTAGTTTGTGAAAAGCATCTTTTGGTAATCTTGTCTTTCGGTGGTAATGATAATGATGTATTCATTTATTGAAGCAATATGTATTGAATACAAGTTAACACTATGTGCCATTCTCGTGGAAGAACATAAAGAAAATTAGAGCAGTATTTATTATTTACTCATTAATTAGAAATTGTGTGCAAAATACTTTTTTCCTTGGTTATTTTGATAAATTTAGTCCTTTCCTGTTCAATATACAATTTTATTTTATATATGTGTGTCCTTAATTTGATTCTTTTTGGTTTAATGATTTTATTTTGGTGTGGTGATCTAGTGAAATATGAGAGTACTAAATTTAATCAAGTTTAAACAATAATTAAAAATAGTTTGAATCTCATTCGATAGTTCGAGACGGCAGCGCAAATAATTATTCAAATACTTAAACAAGATATCACTTCATACATAGATCCATCATTATTTTCCCTTTGCTGTGTTTGATTGTGTAGCCTACATGACTTTTAAAAGTAGAATACAAGAACGTCAATGGACCCCTGGAACCAATTGTTTGACTTTAGTTATACGCACTAGGACCTACGACAATGAATCCGATGCTTGTAATCTTTTGGATAACATCATTATAATGACTATATGGGATAAAACGATCTGATTTTGACTAATCTTTATGGGATTATATAATTGAGTTTCATAAATTTTCTTTTTGAGAGATTGGTCGGTATCATGTATAGAAGATAATCGTTCCAGATTATGTAATAATTTTTTCTCTCACACCCCTTTGGTCTACAGCTTCACTCTTTCTATTGGCTTAAGCCAGGGCACAGTCAAAGAAGCAGCCACTACAAGCTTGTGTGGCTTTCTTGAAGCTGTGCCAACATTAGTGTAATTGATCCATTCAATTAATATGGTGCCGCATTTACTAAGCTAAGTTGAAAGAATAATTCATACGTAGAAAAAAACAACCAAGCACTATGTGGGGCCTGCTCCAGTGCATAAGTGAAAGAATAATCTCCGTTAACATAGCCAAAAAACCTAACTTTTTTCACTTTCTTTGCTATTCATGCTTTCTCTATTTTCTGCCCACCTAAACACAAGCATCCCAAGTGGTCAAATTGCTCTATCACCGTAGAAAGTGATTTTCATATATCACTTTTTTTCTGCACATATATGAACCTGAAAGCCTATTAGTGTTAGACATACACAGGCTCTGCTATCTTAATGCTGCTATGGCTTTTGAAGATGGTTCCAAAGCTGGTTTAAAAATCTTTCCTCTTACTAGGACTACTCTGGCATCTTTGGAGTCTTTGTCCCTGCCAACGGTACTGTAAACACCTTACTCTATTTTCAGTTTTGAAATTGGCCATGAATTTCTGTATGATGGTTTGGTTATTGTGCTGAGAACAGGTCCAGGAAATTGTTATTTCTGCGGATATGCAATGTGAAAAGTGCCGGAAAAGGGTAGCTGACATTATCACTAAAATGAATGGTAAGCCTCTATTTATGTTGCACACTTGCACTTGATGCGAAATTCAAACATTGTTGATTGATTGGTTTTGAAGCTCTATACAAAAATGAGAGATATTATTAAGGATGGTAATGATTGCAAAATTCAGAACTACAAGCTCTCTATCTTCTCCCGAAGAAGAGGATTGTGAGAAAAAGCACAGTGACCCTTACTGTTTTTGTTGTCACTTTTGAATAGGGTAGTAGCATGTGTTTTGGCTGCAAATGTGGGGAACACTGTTATTTATAGCTGTACTTTGTACTAAACCACCAACTGTTATTTCTTCTGTTTTTGGTCTTTTCCTTTTTGCAACTTTGTTTAGGTTGTTTCAAGTTTCAACTACTATCTCCATTCCATGTGTTATTTAACCAAAAGAATTTTATGTTACCAGGTCTGCGTGTGTTATGTAGTGGAGCTAGTAACTTTCTACCTTGTCATCTTCTAGGTAGTTAGAACTTACGTTCTTCTGGGTGGCTTACATCTTAACCTTCCTGGCATCTTCGGTACGATAGACACAGAAAAGAACAAAACCGGCATAAGCTATATTTATATATATAGTCAAGCAGAATTCACCTAAAAAATAAGCACATTTGTTCATAAAATTAGCATTTTATCATAATAAACCGTGGTTTTATGTGTTAATATAATTAATATATGCATGTAGGTCTCATCTTCTATCTGATGAATTTTGAGATGCAATTGTAATGGTATTACGTTACTTTGTCTTGTTACATGTTTTGATTGTTCAGCAGAGACGGAGTCCGTGGAGGTGAATGTGTTGGAAAAGAAGGTGGTACTTACTTTTAGATTACCAACTATTGGTAAAGTAATCTCACAGCCCCTCCCTAAGGTTGCCATTATTAAACGGATATTTCGCTCTTCACAAAGTTAACTATGACTAAGAAAGGATCCACTTGTGCACTAGATTCGCTAAACTACTGATTTGGTAATGTACAGCAGTGTATTCATGATTCATTTTTTGTAATTGCTTTCATCAGTTTGCCCTACTGATAATGATATATGACCGTTCCCAAACAGCGTCAAAGTGATTTTAGGTATGTTTATTTTAAATGTAGGTAGAATTGATTTTGAATTTTTTCATCATAATTGGGAATGTGTACCGAAATTGATCTTAATTTGAGATTTTATATTAAAATGTGTGGTGAGAAAATTTAATGCAAGCAAGCAGACATTGAATTATGTATTTAAATCATTTTTTTTTATCTACTAGAGTGTGGGCCAGAGAATGCACAACCTTATGGCAAATGGTCTTCATTGAAATTGGGAAATAACCAACCTTTCCATTACTCATTACTGAAATTAGAAATTTAGAATGCTAAATTTTGTGCATTTTCCCTTTAGACTTAGAGCCTACATCAGACTTTGAACATAAGAAAGAGTTTATTCGGTGTTGCTTTAGGTATAGGCAATGCAAATCGTGGGCTTGTAATGATGTTCTCAAGTGAATTAAGCGTTGAGGTGAAGGTAAGGATAGAAAGACTTGCCAGATAAACAACTTCCTCCACTTAGCTTAGTCCAAGCACAATCAGATTTCAAAATCAAGAAAAAAATTTGCACGTGTAAGAGATACACACGAGTAAAATTATCCATCAACATCCAACATCCCTTTCCTCAAAAGTCAATACCCCAACAAGATCCTTCTCCTATGCCTCTTTTGCTTATCAAAATAAAACTTTGTTTATTTCTTATAAACAAATAATCTCTATCGATTACAGGAAGTACTTAACTCTTTTTATATAGATTGTAATGCAATTCCCTCTTTTTCTTTTTCTTTTTTCTTCTTTTCTTTAAACAATTGGGTTATTCTTGCATAATCAGTTGATCATCAGACTACCGTTGACTGCAATGCTTTGCTTGTCGCATGGAATGTTTAAACTTTTGTTTGAATCCACGGAAATAAAGGTAATTATGTGGAAAAGTATAGAATCGTAATTTATCCATTGTATTAATGGCATAATTACAATAAAATAAATATAATTAAATAGAATTGATATTATCTATTTTTTCTTTAAAATATGTAAAATATTGTAAATAATAATTTTTTCATATATAATCTATATAAGAAAAACGTTCTTTTCTTACGTGTTTTGGTGAAATATTATTCTTTTGCATATATTAATTTGTTACCACTTTTAAAATTCATAACTTGATGAAAAAATATATTCATCTTAGCCATGCGATGTTTGCCATGTAATATTAAATATTATTTATTACTGTAATCCCTTTCAATTAAATTATTTGTGAATTCGCGTATTTACCTAAATTAAATGATTTACGAGTTAAGTATGGCAACGATAATCAGTAAAGAAAAACAAAAAGGCTTTATGGTTGTTAGTAATGCTAAAAGATATACTAACTCATAATACACGATCTTCTGGAGTAACGCTTGATATACTCCTTTGAAAGACTGAAGCTCATATCTTGTAGAACAATTACATTTCGTAACCTCAATTCCATTGATCATTTTAAATAAACTAATATAACAGTCTATAGTAGTAACTTGTTAAAACTTTTTTAAAAAAAATATTTTTAACAAAATAATTTGAATTTGAAATGGCTATAAAGCAAACCAAACTATCAGAGAACCTATTTTTCATTATATTTGAATATGCTTATGTATTAATTTTCCATATCATTTCAAAGTTACTGATGTACTTTTATAACTAAACATTTTCTATTAAAGTTTAAATTTAGGAAGAGTATTTTTATAACTTTATTATTATTTATTAAAATTTATATAGTAAAAACAAAAACGAGACTTGTTAAATAAGAATTAAAATTCAATTCTCTAAACTTCAATAAATTAAAGCCGATAAGTGTTAAAAGCATGGATACATTATTGCTTTTATATAATATATATATATATATATATATATATATATATATGTGTGTGTGTGTGTTCTATTTTATTTATTATTTAATCAGATATTGGAGCTACAAACATTTTGTTATAATAAATATTAATAATTAAATACTTATTTAGTATTTTTCCTTGATACTGCTTACTGCATAATTAAAAATATCATACTTAAATAAATTGCTATGACCTTTTTCTTAAAACAATACGATAAAACTGAACAGTCCGGTAAAAAACAAACATCGAAGAGTAAAGTTCTACTTCCTTCAAAATTATAACGACTCAATACAAATTTAGTTATGCTTTTTTCTTAAGAGAACAGTCGAAATTCTTTTAAAGGTGAATTTGGATACATGTTTAATAGCAATTTGTTTAAAATGACATCACTAATAATTGCCAGCGAGTTTAACAATAAGACCGCGTGCTAACCTGCGGATCATATAGCCTAAATCCCAGAAAAGCCCACACGAATGGCATACAACATCAACTGAGTAAAATGATTCTAGAGCTTCATCAAGGCAAACACGATACACAAACAAATTTCTACAACAGAAACTAAATACCACACAACAAACATCAGAGTATAGCATATGCATGATCCCTCTCACTCCAACCTACAATCTCCGCACCACTGACAAACAGATCATTTGACTGACAACTAACACCAACTGATCGCATTTTATTTTCCATAACTCTATCTAGTTGCTTGTTTGTTTTCAACTGGTCAAACCTTACGTACATTCGTGTTTGGGCTATTAGTTTTTGGGAAAGTGGCATGACAGTCGTTTCTTTAGAAGTCTTCATTCATAGTCTGGGAAAATCAGAGACAAGTCAACATGGGATTCACTGAGGATTGAGGACATCATAGCTACATCCTTCTGCAGCCCGATGTTGACGTTGTTCCTCAAGAGGAAAGTTTATCACTCACCGTCAGGTGTAGGATTCGGCTTACCCTCTCGCCTATGGACCTTGCGTCTCTGCCCGAATATTTAAAAATCTTGCATAAAACTAGCTCAATATTCTCAACAAAAAATTTGAAGATCAATGCTAACAGAACATATTGGTAAGTCTACTACTATGGTATGGTTTGTTTATAAAAGGTGAAAAAAAGAAGAAAAAAAACGGAAAGCGATATAATTTTGTAATTTGCTTAATGTTAAGGAAAATTTAAGAGTAGTGTAAAAATAAAGATATATAAAATAAAAGATATTTTAATCATTTAGTGTATAAATATCACCTTTGCCTCTCCATTTCTTCCCAACTAGGGCGGATGACATAATTTGCAAGTCCCACAGTTTTTTTAAAGCTTCCCTCCTCTCTTGAACTAACCAAACAAAGGAATGGGTGTGATTTGAGTGTCTTTCCTCCCTTCGAGATTCTATTGTAACAAACAGATGCTTTAGGGACACGTTTAACAGACTGATAGGTCAGGTAGCTGGCGAGGAAGTGGGGGAAATGAGATGAGTGGAGAATTTGATGGGTAGAACTGGACCCCTGGGGACAGAATTCCGCAGAGAGAAGTGGGAAGGTCTAGGTCTCGAGGCAGAGTAGCATGCTTGCTTCAGTTTTTTCTGCTGTTTTTACCACTGATAAATGTTTTTGCACTACGTTGTCCCCATAATTTTGTGGTGAATATCTGGAACTTTCAAGTTTCACCCACCACCACGCAATAGCAAACTACCCAAAGTAATTGCCACATCGATAAAAAAAATATTTCACTATTCTCTATATGTTGTTTAATTCTGATAGCTGACTCTAATACTCTCACCCAAAAGCATTTGTTACCTATGAAAATTGGCAATCTGGGGGTCCACATTAAGGAAATATAAACATTTCAAATTATATATAGTAAAAACTCGGAATCCTTTTAGGTATAATATACAAAAATGCTGTACATGTTGAAATTCATTATTTAAGCTACACAACATTATACACAGACGAGATCAGGTTATTAAACGATTAACCGGTGGCATATCAAGCAAAACAGAGAGTTTTCCGATAATCAGGCCAAAACCACCCACACCCAAGGATAATCCCGCTTTGAAAGGTTTCCATTATAAGTTGTACAACAAAGTATAACTACATTAATATGAAAATATTAGACATTGGTTCTTTTTATTTCTTCAAGATACAAGATCTATCCAAAAAAGAGAAATGGTAGTCAAGTCAATGGGTAGTTGTTTCCATCTTTAGAACTCATAAATTTGTAAGCAATGGCTATCAAGTACATCAGCCACCTAAAACTATTCCCACCGGGTGAGGTTGGGAATGTAGATAAAATCATATCATAATACTATTTTGTAAGCCATGGCTAATGATTATTTTATTTAAAATTTTAAAGTTATCTTATTTTCTCTTCATCCTCAATTTAAAATATAAAATAAAAGGTAGATTGACATGACTAATGTACATGCAATGATGCCAAATACACTGAAGGCTGCCAAACGAATTAGGCACACCTTGCCACTTTCTGCCCGTGATAAAACAACGCAATTGTATTTGAACACGGAGTTAGGTTATTTGCAAGTTCCCTGTATGGCTGTATCCTGACCCTAGACTGGTAAACTCAATTTTAAAATATCCAAAACCCACACATTAAGGGGAGTGTGTATGTGCATATTGCGTTACTTCACAATCAAAAGAAATTTACTATCAAAAGAAAACTTAATTGCATTCTCTAAAATAAATAAAACAGGAAATAAATATGCTATTAAATGAATATCAAGGAAAAGTAGAGGACTGACCAAGTCACCAAACAGCAAAGAATATTAGTGGTTTAGGACAAGAAGAAACAGGAGGATAGCCAAAATCGCTGCTTATAAATCAGAAGAAACAACCATGCACAGAACCCAACAACAAAAAATGCTCACCCAATTCCCATCTAAATTAATCATCAGAAACACAGCAGAAAAGTTTTAACGCAATTGCAAACTTCATATTCATCAAATTTTGAAACAGAATTGAGAACTAGGTATGTATATTGTAAGGAACTGGATGCAAAGGACCATCTATGCCATCAACATTGACAAGATGAGAAAGGAATTGGACTTGGAATATACTTACATAAATTGCAGGACCAAGATATAGTACCTAAAAAGATTTAAAAATGAAAAGGAATCAGATCCATTAAAATTTTAATCCATAGCACAAGATTAACAGAACAATTGTTTCTCAATTAAATTGCTCACCGTGAAATGAATTTTCTTCGTGAACAGCCAAAGACATCCAGTGGAATTGCCTCCAGAATGACCCAAAATGGATAAGATAAGATGCAACACAATATCATTAGGATATGCATATAGGTAATTTAAGAAAATTAATGCTAACAAAAGAGTACATGACATCAGATGGGAAGTGATGCTCAAGTACAGTTCAAGAAATAAGATATCTACACACCTAACTCAAGTCATAACTGAAAGGGATAAAAAGAATGAAACAGAGAAGGCAGCACATAGGAATTCTGCCACTCATGGTGAAACAATTTAAAGGCAGTAGCAACTAGGCATATGGCCTAGTGGTACCTGTATCTGGATGAGGATGCAGGTTAGACACTAACCACTTCCCCTCCTCCCCCCAACTCATGTACCTTGCTAACAATACAAACAATTAATGTGCTCACATGTGCTCAAACAGTACCAACAATCATTGACTTATGACTTAAAAAAAGACCATTTGGGCTCATCTCAATAAATTCCAATTCAAACATGGCAGTTATTCTACTGGCACCGTCAATGAAATTTAATGGAAATCATAACTCATTCCAGCTTGGTGAAATTAATCTCCCAATAAACAAGCCAAGGTACCTTCTCCGGGGTTCCTTCAAAGCATCTAAGCATGGAAGGATGCCTCAAACGTGATATGTCTCCTGAATGAGAAATTAAATTAGAATCCCCAAATTCAAGGAATATATATGAATTGGTAAAATATGAATTGGCAGCAATAATGAAAAAACTAAGGGCATAAAGAATGTAACCATTTAAGTAATATTAACCAAAACACAACAAATAATTACATAAAATTGTAAACAGAAATATAAAAAAGAAAGTGTGAAGAAAGGATAAACAAGTCTATCAAATGAATACTAAATTGAACTTCTCATCATAAAATTTTCCAAGAATTTAATTGGAAGAGCAATGTTTGAAGTACAATTACAACTACACTAAGGGAAACTGCCATTGGCAAGTTGTCTTACAATAGAAACAGTACATTCCACTGAAAGAACCGCCAGTAAAGTGCCTGTAGAGACATCATCCTTTTTCACGTCAACATGCCGACAACTGTGATGACACTCCTTGGGCCATACACAGAAGATAAATAGTGCCAAATAATTAGAACCACAATAACAATTGGATCATTATGTACAAATATCAGTGTATATCATTTTGGGAGTCAAATTCAGCAACATTGTTCACTTGCCAGTGATGAATGGGTGGTTCAGAGCTTGTGAAACTGTCAGCCTCTTGTCTGGATCCAAGACAAAAACTTTTTCCAGAAGATCCTTAAAGTTTGCTAACATTTTTGGATCCTCCCCAGCAGAGCCAGTGATGAATGTCCCAATATCTTTTGGCTTAATGTTGAGAATCAGCCGCTTTATGGTCTAGGGAATAATATTAACACCATCATTCAAACTATGCAGAAAAAAAACCATCCATTCTAATATTGAGAATAAAATCCATTGAAATACAATTTAGTCTAGCTTACCTTTTTTGTTACAGGATCTTCTTCAGTAGCAAGAAAATTCAGGTCTTGATCAAAATGCTGTTCAGTAAATGCTCCCTACAAGCAAATAGAAAAACATAGATATAATTAACAGCACAACAAATTAATTCACGCCACAAATTGTTATGAAAGTACACCCACAGGATTAATTTAGCAACAAAAGTCACAACAGATATACAACCAAAAGAAAAGAGACAGGACAAAAGAAACATGTATCAACTATTAAGTATTATTAAAATAACTCCTAATCAACACTCAAAACAGTGGCAAAACACTATTTGTACACACATCAATTGAATAAAACAATGAATGTTTACCTTGCGTAGCATCTTTTTCGGAAAAGGGCCCTTCAGTTCCATGTGAAGCCGTAGCATGTCATTGTTTGTAAACCCTGGGAAAAGAACCTTCCCAACATACAACTCATACAAACAACAACCTACAGACCAAATATCCAATGGATGATCATATGTCAAGCCAAGTACTGCATAGAAACGTTCAAAATCCCAAAACAGTTAGCAAACATGAGATATCAACGAGAGAAAAACAGTTCAGTGTAATGAAATCATAAAAAATAGGATTAACTTACTTATTTCTGGGGCACGATAAAAACGGCTCACAAGATATGGTGTAACTTCATTTTTACCAGCAAACATAGCATTACCAAAGTCACATAGCTTCAACACATTTTTAGCTTCGTTTACCTTGTCAAAAGAGGAAAAACAAAAAAAGGTAAGATAATAGATATTTCTCCTTGAAATAAATAAACTGAACTTTGAAATGAAACAGACACAACAGTATCTTGGACATACCAACATATTATCTGGCTTTATATCACAGTGAAGAACACCACAGTTCCGGAGATGCTTGAGTGCAATAAAAAGTTGTTTTGCATATGCTCTCACTGCTGTTAGCCTAAGGCCAATATTGCGACCAAACTTCTTTAAAACCTCACGCAGATTCATATTAAGAGATTCAAAAACTAAACAAAGATGATTCCGGTATCTAAAACTTGAAAGGAAACGAACACAATGACGCTTATCATCTGGATCTGCACCTACTAATTTCTTTAATATAACCAATTCATCCATCCCAGCCTTGTACCTGTGACACATTAGATATGCATGAGTGAACTGCCCAAAACAAAAAAGTTTACTGGAGATTATCAAGAAATAAATATCACTCACATGGTGTCATTATTACGAATAATTTTTATTGCTACTTCTTCTGGCTCACCATTTCCCATTTTTAGATTCTTTGCCCGAACAACTGTTGAAAAGACACCCCTCCCATGTGCAGCAGTGACTTCATATCTGCCATCAAGTATTTCACCTATACGATAGCCTGCATATAACAATATCATAACATAACATCATGAACACAAAAACAGATATATTCAGAGATATTACACATGATAGTGGACCAACAATTGTAACAAAAATCTGATAGCCCCCAATGATTTTCTACATCATATTGACACTTTGAAATGCCTCAGAGATAACTAAAGATGTGTGAAAGATGTGAAAATCCATGACGTCACATTTGAAAGAACAAAAAGATAAAAATAATTAACAATGCCCACCCAATAAAAAAGTTACACGAGCCACTAATCATGTTTCACCGAGACACGGCAAAAAAGATGGTCAAGCTCTCAAGCCTCAACTCAACAATAAAAAAAATGATCAAAACAGCTACATACAATCCAATGAATTTTACTTACTGTAATAACCCTCTGCATCATCCCAATTGTCATGTAGGCCAACCCTCTCAATCAGTAAACCATCCCCTTTTCCCTGAAAAAAAAAAGTAGGAAATCTTAATAGTTAATATAACACCAAATAAATAAACAATGATTGGTTTTCACAATTCAAATCACCCAGTACCCTACAGGCAACTTAGCTTGACAGAGAAAGGCAGTGGGAATTGTATTGAAGAATATGTATGGTGAAAAAGATGGAGAAAACAGGTTTATTAGTTTCATCCGAGATCCAAAATGATATCATAACATACTAATACTACAAAGTCAGACTATTACAACATTAAGTGGACAAAAAATTCTACCACTCTTCAAAATTAGAATAGTTTAATCAAACACTTACTGATTTCCGAACACCTGTTGGTGTCTCACCAAATATATCATCACAAAACATATCATCTGACCTCTCACCCTGTAAGTGTAACAAAAGAGAATAAGAATCTAGTGTTAAAAATCAAACTTACTTGATAAATTTTACTACAAAAAAATTTTAAAAATTAAGGGCAAACCTTTGGACTACCCTCTCCCAGGCCCCCGGCAAGAGATGTCTTCTTAGAAGAAGCATTCACATTTTCAGGAGATTTCCCAACAGCAAATGATTGTTCAGCAGAATCAGCACCATCATTCTTACTATCGCGTGCTTCTGAGATGTTAATAGGAATGTCTGCATCCTTGCCTAATAATAGTGCATCACAAAGTTACTAAAAGTAATCCAAGTAGAAGGATAACAAGGGGGAAATGAAACAGTAATTAACACTTTAACATATATGTAATTTTATTTGATTTTCAAATATTTTTTAGGTTTAGAATACATTATCAGGATAATAATAATTATATAAATTATAACAGTAAAAGCGAGCTTGTGCATCTTCAATGGTGTTCTTCAGGTGTGACTCAAATATGAAATGTCAAATATTTCACTCATGTGCTTCACTTTTATTTCTATTTGGAAGAAAGAGAATTTGAGACACAGATGCTAAATAATTAAGAGGGGGAATTTTTCAAGAGAAACCACAAAAATGAAGGGTCATAAGATAATGACTAACGATGGAAGAATTAAGAAAAATAATTTTATATGAGAACATATTGCACAATTTAAAAAATATAATTTACGTGGATTAACAAATATAGCTAGGAGTCTGTCTACAGCCTGGTGCAATGGTTTGATCATTGCATTACCATTAGGTCTCGGGTTTGAGACATGACATGCCCTCATCCAAACCAAATCAATAACAAATATAGAAAGGATAACATAAAAGACTCACGTAACAAACCTCACTATGTCTAGGTCCAGCTCACAGCAAAAGCATTCAAATGAATAACAATGCAGAAAATTTTTACACTAGCTCAGATTAACAAGTGATGGCTTTGGATGAAAGTGATGCGTCTTCCATCAAGAATACTAGAACAGATAATAACATGGTTCTAAAGCTGAAAAATTATTTTTCATCTAACCTAATCAGAAATAGATCCAAAAAAAGTTTGAGCAGCAAAAACAAACAAATTTTACATAATTAAATTAATTAGTAAATTATAAGAAACATTTTTTGTGGGATCAATTGAAATATAGGTTAATTGACACTAGATTTCAAACTTCGTATAATTACATCTGAAATAACATTATATTAAGAAGAAAGAAAACCTTAACAATCCAACAATTTAAAGTTCCCATAAAGTAAACCGAGTCTACAAAAATTTATATTTTTAAAACTAATTAGTATCCATAGCAGTTGCACCAATTTATTTTAACATATGATATGTTATTCAAAATATAAGTCGATATATTATTAGATTATATATATGTATATCTATATATATATATGAATAACTAAATTATCTAAAATTTGATATACATGACTATCAAGATATCACAATATTCACCCATTGGATTGATAAAATTACTTTTTTGCCAAGTGTTATAAAATTACACAATTTGACAGTTTGTACAAATTGATCCTATACCATTTTTTATATGAAATAATTGAACTGTTGAGAAAAAATGGGGGGTACCCTAGGCCCTTTGGATTTGTCCGTACATATGGGGTCAAAAAAAATTACGATCCACACATTTGAAAATCAACATGGTGATAAGAAGACTATGGATAAAGACAATGAATTATAACTTGTAACTAAAGGTCATTTTAGCTAGTTATCAGCCCATCATGCAGATCTATAAAGAAATAGGAAAAAGTAATACCATTTCCTTCATTTCCAACAGCTTGTTCTACTTGCTGATGCTGCTTCTTGTATTTCTCCATTATTGCTTCCCTTCTTCTTCTACTCTCTTCTTTGATCCTGTTGAGATCTTCCTCTTCTTTCTCAGGTAATTGCAATGTATCCTCCTCTAATTCATTTGGTCCAACCTCACTGCTGCAATAAATATACATCAAAATAAAATATTAAAAATGCATAGAATGAAATTGAAGGGGATGGAAAAGAGAGAGAAAAGATGTATAGAAGAAAACTCGTATTAGTAATTATAGGTAATGATACCTTGTTAGTTTGCTATCACCCTCTTCTGCAGTATAAGCCATTACAAGATTATCAGAATTTCTTTTTCTTTCCCAATGGTATTCATTTTCTTCATGTCTTGAATGTTTTCTATATCTATCTCCATTGTCATTACCATCCTCATGACGCAGATGCCTATCTTTACCATTTGCAGTGTCTCTGTCTTTGTGCCTATATCTATCATCTCGCCTTTCCCTCTCCTTAATGTTATCTCTTTCCCGATTCTTGTCATCCCTTTCATTCTCCAGGTCTCTATCTCTCTTGCCACCTCTTGTTCTGTCCCTACTTCTATCTCTTTCCTTTTCCCTTCTCCTATCCCTCTCAAACATTGTCTCCCAACTTCTATCTCTTTCCTTTTCTCGTCTCCTGTCCCTATCCTCCTCCCTTTCTTTGCTCCTATCTTTTTCTACATCTCTTCTATATCTCTCGCGGCTCCTTTCACGTTCTTTTCCCCTTTTGTGTTCCCACTCAATCTCCCTACCCCTGCTTGTTTCCTCTTGTTTCTTTTCTCTGTGCAAGTCTCTATCCACATCTCTGTCCCTACTCCTATCCCTATCCCAGGCATCCCGATTTTGATATCTGGTACCGTAGTCCCTTCTATTATCTACCACACTGGCATGACCATGCTCCCTTCCATGACCCCTTACTCTTTCATCATCATTATCATAGTCAGTATCATGTCTGCCAGTATAATAAATGGACCCTTGGTCCCCAGAGCGCCTTCTCTTGGAATGAGCATATTCTTCTATGGTACTACGAGAACGAGACCTGTCTCTAGTATGACCTGTTGATCTTGATCGACTTCTATGCCTACCATGAGAATGAGAACTTCCAGAGATTCGATATTTTTCTCCTCCACTTTCAGAGGACGAACTCCTATGGTAATATGCTTTCCTTGCATTAGCCTCCAGTGCTTCGTCATCAAAGACACCTTTTAGTTTTTCATTTCCTTTAGAATGTCCAAGTTCCCCATTCTGCCACTTATCCCCTTTGGAAGATTTAGGATCCAAATAGCCATTCCCAACATCATCTGTCTGAGCTTGAGCATGCTTTCTATCTCGAGTCCTAGCACTTGACTGATTAGGAGAGACACCGTCTTCTGCATTCACTGCAGGACTACTAAATTTATCACCTCTAATTTCCTCATTTCTAGATTCTGAATTTCTAGTGAGGTGTCCCTGCCCAGCATAAATAAGAAATTGAGTGCAAATGTTGAAAATCGCAGTGCTAGAGGTGATGCTAACTGAATTAAACAGTGCATTTAAATCAGTCCATAAGCAAAATTAAATTTACAAAACACGTAACCAGCTCTTACAAATTAACTGTAAGCCACCAGTCTTCACTGAAACGCCTAGAGAGACTTCTTTTGCAATTCACTCATGTTCGTGTAGTGCATATGTATGAGACACTGACAGAGTACTATACCAAAGCTCTCAAGAATAAAAAAAAACTCATTATACTGTCCGAAAACAAAGAATCACAGTGCTCTGTTTGGTCACCGAGAGGAAGTGAGAAACACTGAAACACCTAAATACTGAGAAATAAATAACAAAAAAAAAAATCGCAACTAAAAACAACACAATTACGAAAGCAAAAATTTCTTTCAAATCTATTCCAATGGCCTCTGCTTTCTCCGCGACCAAACAGATGTCACGTGTAGCAATACACAGAAATTAAATATTTAAATAAATAAAATTAAATTAAAATTAAAATAAACAAATCCGATCGTAACATACCGAATTTTGATTATCAGATCGAACATCTCGATCTCCTGTCACCTTGATTTCACCAGGCTCGACATCAGATTCCGTCTCCTTTTTTCCAACCTCGCCATCGAGAGCCTCGTCTTCAAGGATCTCTCCCTCCTCCACATCGTCGTCACGGAGATGTGTACGCGGAATTGGAGAAGGAAGCGCAGCAATTGTTCTGTCGTCGAATTCGATCTCTTCGTCGCGCTTTTTGGTCCCGTGGCGGTGGCGGTGGCGGTGCTTGTGGCGCTTGGAGGATCTGTCAACGTCCTCCGGAGAGGATGATCGGTGATGCTTGCGACGCGAGTCACGGGCATCGGTGGCCATGATCGGAAAGGGGTGAGGATTAGGGTTAGGGTTTGTTTGTTTAGCTCTTGAATACGAAGCTACAATGGCAGAAAGAGCGAACGGTTGTAGCACGCGCGGAGGTTTCGTATTGGATCAGATTCCAGGACCAGACCTACAACTACTAGTTACTAGCTTTATATTCTTTCGCAAATAATATCGCACGGACCTTATACGCTTTCCCAAATAATTATAATTATATATATATATATATATTAAATTATCTTTCAAAATTAAGAAATTGAACACAAGTGATTAATGTGTTAAATTTAATTTTGAATCATTTGGATATTATTAAAATTTAATCTTTCATGAAAATAATCATTAATCAAATTTTACTTATCTAGAGGTTGAATCAAATTAATCTAAGACTAATTTAAGATGAAATATATGTATAAATATATTTTTTTCTAAATAATTTTTAAAAATTAAAAAATTAGACACAAGTGACTAATGTGTTAAATTCAATGTCAAATTTTTCATATAATATTGAAGTTCGATCTTTGATAAAAATAATTTTTAGTCAAACATTACTTACTTATTAAATAAATCAAAATAATATAAGACTAATTTGAGACAGAAACTTAGGATTAAAAAATGACTTTTTATTTTTTAACAAATGCTTAAAAATGTAATATTAAAATCAAATTCAATAATGTTTTTAATTAAATAAAGGGAAAAGAACATTAAAATGATATTTTAAGACTTTTACAAATAAATGTTATATATTTTTGTGTATAAATACATTAGTTTTATTCCAACAAGTGAGTTTGTGCTTTTTTTTTTTTGTAAATATAGGAAAGATTATAAAAATTGTCGCAATGAGGATTAAATCTAGGTCATCATACTTCTATGAGTTTGTGCCTATGTGTAATAATTACACGAAAAATTATATATATATAT